CAGCCCTACTTCTTTCCTCTCTGTCTGGGAGATCAGTCATTGAGGGTGTCGACACGCACGCACCCGACTCCCCTGGGAGGACGGGGAGCGTGAAGCTGGGGGTGGTGTTCTACTGCGAGAAGGCAAAGCTGCCATCAGCAGGCGCTTTGATCTACAGACAATTATAGACGAGTGTAGGACCTCGCTCCACTCAGCCAATAAATAATGGAATTTGTGCGTTGACACAGACAGATTTCCCCCAAACTGTCAGAGAAAGGGAGACAGAGAGTGAGCGAACGGGAGCCCAAGCGGCTGGAGGGAAGGGGAGAGGAGCGGGCAGGGAAAGGGCTGCGGAGGGCCTGTGGGAGAACAGGGAGAGGGGGCAAGGGAGGAAAAAAAGAACAAGTCTGGGGAGGCAGCGCTGGTGGGGGAAGCCAGGCAGGGAGGAGAAGGAGCCTAAGGACCACATATTTGTAGAGGGGAAGGAAAATCAAGACAAGAACTGTGGGTGGAAAGGGGGGGGGGGGAGTACTGCATATGCAGCAGGCTGGAAGCAGAGGGAAAAAAAAAATCTGAAGGTGGAAAAGAAAGAGAAGGAGGAACAAAGGCATGGCAGTGTCCCTGGGGCTCCCCGCTGCCTGGCAGATCACTCGCTCTCTGAGCAGGGACCATATTCCCGCAGCGCCCCACAGAGCGGCCCTGACCCCCCCCAGGCGCTCAGCGCTGTGAAGCCGGTGACGGGGAGGCACGCGTGAGTTGGTGAAATGGTGCCACTGGTGTGCAGCCAACAGCAGAAATTTGCTCTGAGATCACAAATCCACGAAAAACCTCCTGCGGATGCCCTGTCCCCACGGTCCCCCGCTCTTCCGCATCACTCTCCCCATCTCCCCCTCTCCCTGATCCTTCTCCAGCCCGGAGCTGTTTGTTCTCTGGCTGATGATGTTTTTTTTTACTTTGCTCACAACAAAGAAATACCTCCCCTTTGCTCAGGAGCCCCACCACCGAGACCAGCAGAAACCATCCATCCTTCCAGCAGCCCTCCAGCCCAACCTGTCTGCGGCAGCAGATCCGACAGGGATGGGAGGGGAGCCACTGGGGCTGTCTCCTTCCTCCCAGTTTGAAGCACTCAAGGGCACCCTTACTCCCCTCTTGGCCCCACCTGTGGCTTGACCTGGCTCAGCCCTGAGTATTGAGTGTGCGGAGAGTGGCCCAAGTTGCTGAGGTGTCAAGGCCAAGCACCACTTCACTGTAGGTGTCCTCTGCTCCCTGCGTGGCCCTTTTCGAAAAACGGGTGTCCAAGTTTCTCATTCAAGCTCCAGATGGGGAGCAAACACCTCCCAGCCCAGGGACACCCCCTGCCAAGTCTTTACCTTCCCCTACCCCGGCCTTCCATCCCTTCCCGCTCCCTTCTGCGGAAACACCAGCTCCAACCAAGGGTTAGACCTTCACCCTTGCACAGATCGGGCTCTCCCCCAGGGACACCTTGTCCCACCAGTTGAGGAAAGCAGAACAGGTTACAGGTTGGGCCAAGGGTTGACTGATCGGAGTGACACTTACTTAGTAAACAGGGTGTCCATAGAGCTGGGGGGGACAGAAATTCTGGCTCCAGGGTTGTGTGGGATGGTGCCGCAACAGAAGGTTGGCTGATGGGGCATGGGAGACACAGGAGCCTCACAGCCTGTCCCCAGCAGAGCAGGGGTTTGGTGGTACAGCCTCCTGGCACCGCTGTGCTGGGTCAAAGAGAAGCAGGAGGGGAGCTTTTCGGGGATATCGCCCATGGATGTTGTTTAGCTTAATGATGGCAAACAGCAAGAACGGCAGCCTAACTGGGGCAGCAGTAGCTTATGGCCTGAGCAATGGGAGGACTTATACCTCTCTTTCGGGAGGGCGGGATGTAAAACTGGTGTAAATTGCTAAAAAGCTGGGTCTTTTTGCTAATAAAGTCACTGAAGCAGGTAATGATTCAGCTGGCCAAGGCAGAGTAATGCATGGAGCCAGGCTGGGACCCCTTCTTCTCCAGGATCACTCCAGGTCCCTGATCCCAGTCATTTTACTGGGACGGTGGGAATCCTAGGCTGTATTTGGCTGCTGTTGCTCTAGTCCCAAGCAGGACCAGAAGAGAGTGACGGGAAGGTGGGACAGCAGGGGAGGGCAGAGTTGAGGGGGTGCACAACAGCCTCCCAGTTCCCTCTAAAGGAAGGAAGAGGGGAAAAGCAGCTTCACGCTGTGGGTGTTGGCACTCAGCCCCTCTGCGAGGCTTCAGCCCTCCCTCCCAGGATGAGGCCAGGGAAGAAGACGGCTGGGAGAGAAGTGGTGGGGGCAAGATAGATTTGTGCTTTCTCTGGGCTCTGTTGTGATGCCCCAGTGCTTTTCCAGCAATGCCACCAATATTTAATGGGGTGCAGCCACAGTAGTCTGGCTCAGGCTGACCATGGCCCCTGGCCTGGCTGGGATGGAGGGGGTGCAGGCAGCTCTGCTGAACTGGGAGATCCTCCCCCCCGGTCCTCCGAGCTGCACGCCACAAGGAACTGCTCTGTGGCCAGGGCAGAGCTTTGCACCCTCTGCCCAGGTGCTGAGAACAAGCACCAAGCTGGCTCCAGGCACCTCAAAACACTTTCATGGTGAGACCAGGCAGGATGCCCCAGCCTAGATGTGGGAACCATGAGAAACATCCCTCCTTACTCCACCAGCTTCCAGTTTTAACCCACGGAAGAGCTGCACCAAAAGGGGCCACAGCTCCGGCAAGAGCGAAGTGGGAATCAGCAGGCACAGAGCACCCTGGCTCTGTTTGCTGGTGGGGAGAAGCAGGACGGAGAGCTGCAGAGCTGGGACCTCCCTCTCTCCAATTAAAACACCAAGCCCTGACCCACACAGGCACATCCAGCACCAGCAGCCTTAAAATTCAACATGGAGATGGAGAGTGCCAATGAAGAGTCACAGAGAACCGCTGCTCCAGCACTGGGGGCAGTGAGCAAAGGGTTAACATCCCACAGCAGCACTAAGCAGTGGTGGGAATAAAGGGTTAATGCAGTGGGTGCAGGGAATGTTATCTGTCTCTTCTCTAAATATTATTTCCTCCCATGAAACCAGCTTTTCATCCTTGGCTAGAGGCAGCTCCTGCTGCTGGGAATCCAGCAAGAGCTTGTATCTGCTGCAGCACACACCACTGCTCCCAGCAAACCGCCAAGACAAAGAGCCGCGCTCCCTGGCGAGAGCAGCTCCAGCGCTGGGACCAGGCAGCAGCAGTGCAGAGACACTGGGGCTTCAGCCCAGAGGATGCAGATGGCCTCGGCATGGAGTTTGGGTATCACAGGCTTTTTACCAAAGAGGAATCTCGTTAATGAAGGCCCTCTCCCACCCCGCTGTACCACGGAGGGGTTTCCTCCCCATCTCCCAGGATGGGGAGCAGCAGGCAGAGGCACTCGCACAGGCTGGGTCAGGCTGGGGCAGGCTCCAGCCCAGTGGCAGCCGGCTGCACAACCCCGGCCATCTCCCCGGGAAGGTTTTTCGGGGGCTGCCCATTTCACACCTCACCCCTTGGGTGCACTGGGATGGCCAAGAACAGCAGGATGCTCTGTGGGGAAACACAGGCAGCAGCCACTGGCCCCAAGGTCACAACCTGGGAAAGAGGGAGGGTGCGGGGCAGCCCCTGCCCCTTCCCCAGAAGCCCAAACCGAATTCAGGCTGCAGTGAGGGTCTGGTTGTCTGTAAAGCTGCTGGCTGGGATAAAATGGCTGCTGCTAAATCTTCTCTGAAATGTCCTAAACTTTCAATGTGTATGAAACCATGGCAGCATCCCTTTCACACCCCGGAGGGCACAAAGGCACAAGCGTCTTCTCTCTCCCATTCAGCCTGAGCCACGTGCTACAGTCTGAACAGCGCTAGGTACGTGGCTGGAATGAAAGTCGCCTTTCCAGCCCGTGTGCTCAGGGAGCATTTGCCGAAGTCAAAGGATTGCCAAGTTAAAAGGGTCAAACCTCCAAGGACAGTTGTATCTGAGTGGCTATATATCATTTCAATGGCATCTTCAACGGGGATTATAATCTGAATTGAAGCGGAAAGACCCAAGGCAATGAAGCTGTCAGCAGCCTAAGATTAAGGAATTAAAACAGCAGCAGAGCATTACAGGATTTGTTCGAGATATATCAGAAAGAGCAGGCTAAACACACTGCAGCCTTCCTCGGGTCGGAAATTTCATATGAGTACAGAGAAGGGCAAGAGCAAGGATCTCATCAATATACATAAAAAGAGAGAGGAGAGCGAGACAGAGCTACGAAAACCCAACCACGCAAAATATAAATCCTAACTGTAGACAGAAATGAGTCACACAAGGTTTGACTGAGGTAAATAAAAGCAGAAATGAAGTGGATTTAGGGGAGGGCAGAGGTGAAAAGACACTGATACCCAGTAGACAGGAAAAAAATAGCCCTTAATATACTAAGGCTGGTAAATTCTGGAATGCAGCCCAGCCTGCTCTTGGATTGCCTAATGGAAATGCAGGTCCCCAGTCCTGTCCCTTCCTCTTCCCGCTCCCTTCCTCTTCCCCTTTCTTCCCTCCCCCCTCCTGTTCTTACACCCATCTCCAGAATTACTTGAAAAAGTCAAGAATGACAGCAACTGCCTGCATAGGGCAGCTGGGCCGAGAGAGAGGGAGCGACAAGCCTTGCCTTTGCCTCCATCGAGGTCCCCAGAAGGCCACCAGCAGCCCTGCACAGCTTGGGAGGTATTAGCGGCTCTTCTCAGTGGGAAGCAGAAGCTCTCAAAACAAGGAAGGAATCAAACTCCCACCAAAGGACCCATTAAAACAGTCCATTTATTTCGGGCAAATTGCACACACCTTTCTTTCATTTGCTCTATCCTAGATCAGACGTGGGGAGGAATTTCTCCCCTGCCTTAAAGATATCAAAGATATGGGATGAAACACAAAGAAAAGCAGGGAAGGATCCCTCGCAGATAAAATACACAGGAAAGTTTTGGCGACCCAGACCTCATGCAGCCACCAGCTCTGCTCAGCACAAGCCATAAAGATGCCGGTTGTACCGCTCAACACTGCTCGCTGCGGCATGTTTCCTTCAGTTACACGATCTAAAAAGAAACTGAATCACTCCCTGCGTTTCAAACACACAGCCCAGTTGACAACTAGAACAACTAGGGCCCAGAACAATGATGCTGGTTGATAACTAGATTAATCCTGAACCAGGCCATCTGTACAGAACTGTTGCACTTTATTGACACAAAAACGTACCCAGCAGAACACTTCCCTGCACACACAAGGCCATAGAGCAGTGATGAGCAGCCAGATCTAGGACACAGAAGGAGATGGAAAGCTAATGACAGGCGGAGCTTGTTCTGCAGCACAGGTAGAGCATGGAATCGCTTTTGGACTCCTCCAGCCAACTTCTACTGGGAGATTTACATACAAGTCCTCAATCAAGTCTTTTAAGAGATATCCAGAGTCCCCTGGGTAAAAACAATCTGTTTCAAGAAAGAGGAGAGTCCAGAGCTGCTCAGTGGTTCTTTTTGGTTGAGCCAAAACCAGAGAAACCCATCACAGCTGCCATTTCGTCATCCTCTTCAAATGTCAAATCTTCCTCTGCCCGCCTTTTCTTCTCTCTCTGCTTCTCCTTCTTGTAGGCTTTGGCCTTCTCCTCCTGCAGCAAGGGACAGAACAGCAATATAATATGAACCTCCCGGGCTGAGTAAGCTTTTGAGACACCGGGCACTGCACAGTTAACCCAAGTCCTACCAACAGCACCCAAGCTGTGTCTGAGGAAATCCTGGACTGCAGTCTTCCAGGATCTTTCCCACTGTCTCCAGACCACCCCACCTACCACCCCAAGAGCAGAGTCACACAGAGGAGGTAGGCAAAAAGAAGTGTTATGAAACTCTGTCTTCCGAACAAACATCAGAAGTTTTGTCTGGAATCAACGCTGAGGCAAGAAGGAGCTGTTTTTAAAGCAGGAGGCGTTTCCCTTATAGGATGCCCTGTTCCAGTGACTGCGATGCAGAATGTTGCTGCCTGTTGGCTTTCAGCCTGGCAGAGTGACAGCTGCTCACTGGAACAGAAGCTGAAGCTCTGAGCGGCTTTGGGGGCTTTTGGCATCAAAGAGTTTGCGCTGCTCTAATCAAAGTGTTTTGCTCTGCAAGGATCACAAGCCCTGGAACAGCGCCAGGCTTGTACCGGGCGATGTAGAAGCATGGCTTCAGCTCCCAACTTAGCAACTGCTCCTGCCATTCCCATCACCGTCCACTGCACCACAGCTACTGAAGACAGCTGTGCCCTGGTACAGCTGTGCCACAGCTACTGAAGAAAGCTACACCAAAAGTTGCTGCTGATTTCTTTGTTGCCATACGTTGACTGGCAGTAGCTTTTTAAGCCACAGCACTCCCTGCACTGCTGGGGCACCTGTCTCCTACCTCCCCCAAACAGATCAGGTTCA